ACGTCGTTACGTCGTACGACGTTAGGTACGTCGACGAGCGAGTACGACGAGTGACGAGAGAGAGAGAGAGAGAGAGAGAGAGAGAGAGAGAGAGAGAGAGAGAGAGAGAGAGGTAGGTTTAGAGGTTAAGGGGCCACACCTGAGTACAGAGCTTGCCTGAAGTTTCCCATGGCTGCTTCTCCCACCACTCCATAGAAGTAATGTTGCAGGCTGTGTGTGAACACAGCTAGTAATCCTACAACTGCAAAACTGATTGAGTAGATCCTGACCTGTCCCTTTGGGTCATGGCTGTAATATGCCACCCCAATTGTCATTATATAAAAACCGAAAAGAGGCTTGGAAATCCCTGAGAGAGCAGCAGCTGCGGAACCCAGTAAGGTTTTCCCAAGGTCATGTTTCCTTAGTCCAAACCATATTCTGAAAAATGGTGACGGTCTTTGCATCTTTCCTTTTGTTCTTGAAACTGTAGGTAGTTCACTTGATTGGCTCTTCACATCCATTGACAGTTCAGTAATTTGTGATTTTGTACTGTGATGGTCTTCATATAAGGGACTCCAAATTTCTGTTATTGTTCCAGTTGCATTCATTGTTCCAGTTGCATTTGTGTTATGGTATGATTGGGGGCTCCAAATTTCCTCAGGAGAGTCATTTGTTTTCCTATAATGCAATGCTAATTAGTGAGTCTTGCATTGTCTGTGTTGTTGTTATTATTATTATTATTATTATTATTATTATTATTATTATTATTATTATTTTTGAGTGTCTGTGTGTTTGTGTGTGTGTGAGACAGAGAGAGAGAGGACCTTGCATATTACCATTGTGCACTGCTTCTTACCTCCTAGCACCTAAGCCAAATGGCCCAACTAGCATGGAAAGATTTTCTTCCCTTTGAGATGAGTCATTGTCACTTTTGATGTTGTCAATGCTTTGTGTTGTGAAGAGAGCATGATAGAAGTCATTTGTCTGAAGCAACTCATGGTGTGTCCCAGTTTGTCTCACCTGGCCATCCTCCACCACAGCAATCGTGTTCGCATTTATGATAGTTGAGAGCCTGTGAGCTATCACAATTACAGTCCTCCCTGACATGGCTCTTTCTAAGGCATCCTGAACTAGCTTCTCTGACTCAGAATCCAAGGCGCTTGTAGCCTCATCTAGTAAAAGGATTGGGGGGTTCTTAAGAATTGCCCTTGCTATTGCTATTCTTTGCTTCTGCCCCCCCGATAATTGAGCTCCTCTATCTCCCACCTGAGGCATGGGAAAACATGTTTACTCGCTTACCATTGGTCATATTTTGCCTCTAATGCTACAAGAATTGCATAAAGAAAGAGTGGCCAGACCTCAGTGTTGTATTGGTCGGGAAGTTTTGATATGAAGGAATCTGCATTAGCGATGGTGGCTGCATTCTTGATGTCATCATCGCTGGCATCAGGATTTCCAAGTCTAAGGTTGTCACGAATTGTGCCTGTAAAAAGGGAGGGCTCTTGTGAAACAAGCCCAATATTTCTTCTTAGGAATTTGAGGTCCAGCTCTTTTATGTTTTGGCCATCGATCAATACCTCACCTGCATGTAACGCCATGAGTTATTCTTAGGCACCATTCTGTGTCTATCAATGAGTGTCATAGGCATTTAGTACGTCGGTTTAAAAATCAATATGAATAGACATGTTCATACATTTGACTTTTATAAATAAAATACTATATTATGATATTGTTTTTTTATTTTTATAACATCAAAAAATGGAATGACGGGATGTAGAATGAGCGGGGTAACTCAAAATGAGCTGAGTTTTGAGTTCCCTCATGTGGCCTCATTGATGGGTTGAATTAGATATATATGACCAACATCCCTATGTGTCAACATGTGTCGAGGTGTTGAGATGAGTAGACATGCTACATGTGTCAAAAGACCACGTGTTAGTATCATAGGCACCATCATGTTATTTTGAGTATTTTAGAATTTAAGGTGTATTTGGAATGGGAATGTCATGGTCTTTACGATTCTTATGAAAGGGACAGTAAACTGTCGCCTTTTATACTTCAAAACTTATTAAGCGACTGTCACTGCCTGATTCCCTCTCTATCACTATCTGTCCATGAGTTGGATGACGATGACACGAGTGTCTTTAGTCATATGGATCCTAGCTACATGAATTTTGGTTTTCTTTCTCTTTGTTGATGTTGAGGGATGTTTTGGAATAGTGGGAGAGGATATCCTTAAACATGTTGGGTTCCGGAATATTGTGCCCTTGAAATTATTGGATTCATGAAGCTGACCCCCAAAGTAGGGGGCATTTTTGTGTGTGTGTGTGAAAGAGAGACTACCTTGAGATGGATCATAGAACCTCTCAATGAGAGAAATGATGGTGCTCTTCCCGCACCCACTGCTACCCACCAAAGCAACAACGTTGCCTGCAGGGATGGAGAGAGAAAAGCCTCTCAACACAAACTGGGCTTGGCGAGAAGGGTAGGCAAAGTGAACATCGTGCAGTTCAATGTCTCCCTTAATTTTCTCAGGTGTAATTCCAGCCACGGTATAACTGATTTGGGGCTTCCTCTCTATCACTCTGAAGACCTCGTAGCCGGCAGCCCCTGCTTGGTTGAAGGCTTGCATGTCCGGGGCAGCATGTGTGAGAGATCTGCAATAAGACTTGGTCATGAGGGGTATAATTGGTCATGAGTTCAAAATATGAAGCACTAAAGTTTGTTGGGTAGGTTAGAAATATGAAAATATGTGCTTTTATGGAGGTTGGTTACAAATATGAAAGTCACAACTCGGAAAAGACACTTCTAATGGATAGGCATTGGCAAAGGTATTGTGTTGTACAAAATCCTGATCCTATTTTTTTTTTTTTTGTTATTTTCTTTTGAGGTAGGATTTGAACCCGTGAGGTCATTTTGTGGCTCCACCACCCTGATCACCTAGGCCTAGGGCCGTGTAAAACCCTGACGGTTTGGGTTGATGGCAATGTAAAAAATATGCAATGAAGAAGAGCAGAGAAGAATACCACAATACACCTACGAGCGACCCTAGCTCCAAAAACAGAACAAGACAGTTCTCTCAACATATCTCCCTGAGCCAAAAGCATATAAGGCTTTATGTACAGTCTAAATCCCGAACTTAATTCTCAAAGAAAGATATCTACATGCTGAAAATACCTTGAAAGCTGCGTAGTTTCTCCTGTTGTGATGTAGATGATCAACAAATATTATATCTTAGAAATTTTCTCATGTAGCCAAATGGTATTGGGAGATTGATAATTTGGAAACCCATTATTCAGTTGTTTTAGGTTAAATTTGGCACTATGGAAAAGCCAAGCATATGGCTCTAGGTGGAAGAATTACATTTGGCTCTAGGTGGAAGAATTACATTGTTGAAGTGCATTTGGTGTGCCAAAGTTTTGTGGTAAGTATGTTGGAGAAATTAATGAAAATTTTCTATGCGGAGGTGATGATATTAAAAGAAGATGTCATTTGGTGAGCTAGGATCAAGTATATACTTTGAAGCAGTGGTTTAAAAAACTGATCGGTGCTCCGGATCGGGCACTTCAAAAACCCATCCAGATCGGTGAATCGGTAATCCGGATTGGGAATATGTCGAATCGGTCTGATTAAGCTTTAAAAAAATTCCAAAAATTATTAAAATTCGTTATAAATGTTATCTTTTAGGAATCCAATAAAAAAATGAGAGTACTACATTATTAAGTTTCATTTTTTCAACAATTTGTGAAAATTGAGATGCTCTTTCCCTGTATAAACTTATGTTAACCATTAAATTTACATCATATAAAAGAAAAATCATAGAATTATCATGGATAAAATATATAACTATACATAGACTATAATAAAGAGTAGACTAAATCAATGAAAGAATGGCCACTAAAATCTCGTTTTGGCGAAA